AAGACTAGTAGCAAAGCTAAGATCAACTATTTTACGGCGGGCAGAGCCTTTTATCAGATCATCAAAGGTTTCCCTAGTAAAGATAACTTTTGGTTTTAGAAGTTCTTCTTCGTGAAGATAAACGAGGCTCCCGTTGGTCCTAACTGGCTTGATAGAATCTTCATTAAGTGGGGAACTCGCGGTAGCGGTTCTCATAGCTTTTTAGACTTGTGTTACTTAGCTTCTTCTTGGTGGTGATTTCTAATGCCTTTGTATTTTTTGTATGTTTTGCAGCTCCGAGGCGCTTCTTGAAGTTCCTGAAGGACACGAGCAGACTTCACGAATCCTTCGTTGCTTGGAGGTGTCATTGGAGGAAGCACTTCTCCCTTCGCAGAGTTGAGAGAGCTAGAGCTCGGTGCACTGGTTCCTTTCTTGCGGGTTTGTCTCCGTCTTCGAATCACACCGATTCTAGTGCATTCATGTCTACCAGACCTACCCTTAGTGATAAGAGAACCTTAGCCAAGAAGAAGGCTGCCGAGGCGGAGCGGGATACCGAGGCGGAGCAGCTTACAGAGGTGGATACGCACACCGAGGTTGAGCCAGACACCGCGGCTGGCACACACATCGAGTCGGCCAAACTGGTTCTGGATAACTCTACCGTTGACCAGTCTTCTTGTCCTTCAGGCTCGGTTTGCACAGCCCTGGACCGATATGGGTCGACTCTGTCGCTTCGCCCATCCACCTCCTCAGTGATTCGTCATGAAGAAACAAGTCGCAGAGATGGGAACCGCAAGCGTGGAACGGATAGCAGAAGAGAGCCTCGTTTCGATGGGAGGGCTCCGAAGCAGCCGAGATGTTCCTCTAGTGATCGTGGAATGGTTGCTACTGACCCTGACTAGACTACTGCATCCATGCTTTCCAAGATCACTCTTCTCGGTACTCGCTTTCCTCCTCCCGATACCCTCCAAGGCGAAGGGAGCTACGCCGAGATGGCTCGTGAAGGAGTCCAGGTATGTCGCACCCTTCCTCCTACTCAATTTTTAGAACAAGTCTTTTCATTTTCCTTATGGACTTTTAACCTTGCATTCCTTTGTCGTATGTAGTTCATCTCCCACCTCAACAAGATGACTTTGGATTACGAGGCGGAGTCTAAGGCAAATAGGCGCCAGCTCGAGGACGGGCAGCAAGATGCCGAGAAGTACAAAGGTGATGCGAGCATGGCGACGAAGCGATCTGCCGACCTAGAGTCCGAGGTGAAGCAACTCCGCGATCAACTTGGTAGGATGCAGAAAGACAACGAGGATTTGACTACCTCCAACACTCGTCGCTTCCACGGGCTAGAAGACTGTTTTGCCAAGCTAAGGGCATTGGAAAAGCAAGAGGCGAATGTGCAGCATGCCATTCACAAGGCGAGATGCGAGATGACAACCAAGTTTCGGGAGACCCTTACTTATATTGAGAGGCAGTTCGATGTCGTTGAGTGGGCTAGGGAAAGGAATTTTGACCTTGCTCAGGCCGAGGGCAACCTACAGCTCGTCCAATAGGTTCGGAGCGAGACTCATCCAGATCTTGAGACCGAAGAGGAGGATCTTATCGCGGCGGTGGCTGAGTCGGAAGGAGCCCATCAGATGCTTGCAGACGAGGTGATGAACCTTAGGAGGATTCTTCGCGCCCTCCCGGTTAGGTTGGATGATGGTGAGCGTATCGAGTTAGCTGCAGCGTCGCTAGGTATTCGGAACTTCTCAGGGTCCAACAGCGAGACTCCGGGTTAATCCGGTCTTAGTGCTNAGAGGGCTGCATCGGGTCCAACTACTATGGAGTTGTCGGCTCCTGCGCAGGGTGCACTCGCTCTTGCCCTTGTTGAGCCTACTACCATGCTTGTGGAGCGGGTTATCGCTGTGGTTATCTCCGCTTCAGGAGATGCATCTGAGCGTGGCGAGTCTGTTCTTTCTGCCAGCGTGGATGCCGAGATGTCTGAGCAGGTGCCCATGGAGGCGGCGATGGACAAGGCTGCAAAGCAAGTGCCCGCGGAGGATGCGACAAATGAGGCTACAGTGCTGGACGGGACGGAGGTCGTGGCGACCGCTTAGCTTTACTTTTGCTTTTGTTGTTTTTCGGATTTCCAGTATGTTGCTACTCCTTTTGCTTAGATTCGGGATTTGGTTTTGACACCTGGATGGTTTTAGTTTTTGTTTCGGACTTATGTTTTTTGCCCTGCTTTGAAGTGGGATGCTATTATGATTTCAGCTTTTCGTATTCTTGTCTTGTTCAGTTAATAATGCTTTCCTTCGTGAACAAATACTAAGTATTACAACCACTAAGTATTGCTCGTTGTACTTTTAAGAACAAAGTTAACGACATGCTTGTTGGACTTGTAGTGATCATTTTGGTTTGCTGTCAAACCCGTTGTACTCGTAAGAAAGAAGTTAACGACATACTTGTCGTGCTTCCTGGCCATCGTTCTGGTTTGTGGGAAGACGATGCTGCCATATCTAATCCAAAAGTCGTCTCATTTAAGTAACCTAGTTAGTGTTCGGGTGGTAAATATCTCCTGAAAATGAGAATGCCTTAGGGTTTTTAAGACTTGTTTGACGTGCGATCGAGCCGCTATTGACACGCCCGTTCAAGGGCCTTACGTTGCCGGTAAGACCAATGGTCTGCTGGCTGGGTTTTAAATGATATATTCGGTTTACGGGCGAATCTTCATTGACACGCCCGCTCCAAAAAGAACAGTTTTAACGAGACCAACGATCTGTTTGTTGAGTTTCGAATGACCATTTCGATTTACGTGCGAGTCTTCATTGATACGCCCGCTCTAAAAATATCATTTTTAACAAGACCAACGATTTGTTTGTTGGGTTTATTGATGAACATCTCGGTTTACAGGCTTGTTCCCGTGAACTCATCCGCTCCGGCAATGGACAATCATTTGTATAGCGCGCTTTGCAATCCTGCTGAGAATGTAGTAGTCAGATCTGAATTAAGTGTTAGAGTTCATTACTGTTGTCATAAGTACCGAAGTGAAGAGTGACATGTCTATTCTGTTAAGACTTAGTCTGTAAAAGAAGTAAACGAGATTTTGTAAAAAACTTGTGATTTTTATTCATCATAGAATTTCTTACAAAATTG